AGGCCCAACTCTTGTTTTCTCTATTTTCGAGTCTTTGCTAGTTAGGTCCAGCCTCACAGTATCTCTTTCTCCCAACAACCCAACTGCCTAACAAAGTGGAACATAACATACCAAAAGAAACAAAAAGTAACACTGAAAAATGAAAAAAGGACATATGACCTTTTCCTTTTCTTCAACTATTGGTTATTTAGTATTGTTTTTTGTTGATATATATATTTGGGCTGAACTGCCTTTCAGAGGACTTCAAAATTCTCACGGATTAATCCTTGAAAAGATACAGAACACTCATAGTCAACTAGCTCACCATAATACCTCAAAGTAAAGCGCCTTGTCAGTCAAAGTCAGCTTCCCTGGCCATGCCATGTTCTTTTCCCATTTTATTACAGGCTGCTTTCGGCTAGAACCAAGACATAGAATTTTCTCCTCAGAATGATTCGACGAGAACACCTGAGATTGGTAAGAACTCCGACCTTCATGCACTCTATAAATGAGGATCAAACAAAAAGGTGAGACAGTGAAGATCAAGCAGCAGTTCAGTATTCAATACTGATATTTATTTTACATTTATGCATGAAAAAAGAATTATAAATTTATTGTAGTACCAAGAACAACCGGGATTGGTTCAGGTGATAGTAGAGTACAAATAAGAATAGCATATAGCGGATTTAAGAAATAATGCAAGAAAATATCTTTCTTCCCCACCCACCCACCTAACACGTCAAACCCAAAAAAGAAACGTTGAATCAGAACCAAATGGAGGTATGGCTCACTTGATAAGTTCGTTAATATATGTCGACCATACAGAAAACGAGATGCCATTCTCATCACCAGCAAGAGCTTTAAAAAGATTATGTACAGTGGGAATATCAGCCACCCCAGCCACAGCTGGCGCAATGCGAATGAATGCCTCTTCCCCCACAAGCTTCGTCTTCAAGTTCAGCAAACAGACGACAAGAAAAAAAATAATGAACCAAAATTATGTAAGAAAAGTGTAAATTACTGTACAAACAAACTACAAAGCATAAGAAAAAGTTAGGGTTAGTAAAAAATTACATGGAATGTATTTTTATCAAGCGACTTAACCCTACTATTTTTTCCTTTTCTCTGCGGATTCTGCCATGCAAGCATGGTGATGAAAGCTAGTCTCTGAAATGCAGGTTCCTGATATGAGGTAAAAACAAAAAAATATGAGTAATATTAAAAGCCATGCTAAATTCTGGCCAAGAAAAAGGAATTGTTCAATACCTTTGCGCCTCTTAACATAATTTATAAATTGGACAACATCAGTTCTTGAGATAGAAACAAGTTAGTTTCTGATGACAACGGAATGAGACTAAATACATCCCTCATAATCAAAACAAGGGAAGGAGATTCGCCAAATTATAAGTAGTCCAATAACAAAATAACATGTTTGTTTTGGGAAAATAGTACCATACATAGATACACCCAAAAAATATTTTTAACCCACGAAACAAATAAAAGATACACAAGAATGTGGACCTTTAGAATCAGTTTGATGATAGATTACCATATGTCCAAATTCAGAAGTTACATAAAAGAAGTATACACCAAATAAATTTAAGAAACAGAATCCATAAATTGAAGGAGGGAGTACACCAAAATGCTAGGAAGTCTACACACCTTGAGGCTAGGATAAACATCAGCACTGTTCCTTGACAAAAACCGGAAGCAGCAATATTCCACCAAATTACGCGGATCGTCATATACAGATTCAGGGACAAGAGCCTTAAATATTTTCTGCATTTTCTGCCCAGTCAGCCCATTCATCCTGCATATCTTAGATGCAGAAAAAGTTAAAAAATAAAATAATGGATAGACTTCACCAACCATTAAAAAAAATAGTAGTTTGTTCGCGGCTTCGCGCAAGTCTCTACACAAGCTAAAGATCAAAGCTTTACAAAAAGTATCTGCTTCTAAGCATGTAAGTTACAGATGAACATTCTCATGAGGAGAATCCTAGTGAATAAACAAAATTGGGG